TTGAATAAATGTATTCTCAAACTTGAAAATATAGAATAAATAATTTAGCTTTGTTTAATATTAAAGTAGTATCCTAATGAAAACCTTCTTTAAGTTTTCTCATATGTTTTCCTGGCTTCAAGTTATTATAATACTTATTTTATGTTTTATTGACTGTTTTCTCAGTGTCAGGAACCACGATGTCTGCTGATGTAAATTTCTTTATTTGATCTCCACAGCTCTGAAAGGTTGGTGCTGTTATTATCGCCATTTTATAGATACAGAAGATGAGTCTCCAGAAAAGTTAAGTAATTTGATCAAGGTATCAGAATTAAAAAGTAGCAGAAAAGATATTTTTACTTAGTATGACTAATGAATCCTAGCTCTTAAACTCCATATTATGCAATTCTAAACACCAAAGATATTACTGATATCTGTACTAATTATTAATCATTACTAATATCTGTTGTACTAATTCATATTTTTTCTTCTAAAAGTGTCAGATCTCTTGGTGATATGTTTTCTATATGTATATATTTATACATATATGTATATGTATACATTTTCAAAATTATATAAAGTAAAATTTAATCTCATAATTAATTGAACATAATTAAATCAAACATTACAATGGACATATAAAAATTATAAAAATCAATTTTTCAAAATATTATTAATTAAGCTTTTTAGTTCATAAATTGCTTTGCCTTTTCTGAGCACTGCTTGCATGCAGCTCTACTATACAACCAGCAGAAAAGAAAAAAATACACTGATTACACATTGTTTGTATAATATCTATCATACTCAGCAGACCTATCTTATATGTTTCATACATGCACACACACACAAACACACACAGGAACATGCTATTCACTAGCTCTGTGGCGTAGGGGGACCCTGATTTATATCTTGTCAATTTCTATGGTATAAATATGACTAATGTCAATCTACCAATGATGTCAATGAATATATAAATTGTAAAGAGATATGCAGTAGCATGCCATCATTTAGTATTTCCATTTTACAGAGCCATAAGATACAATAACCCAAGAGAATAGATAATAACACTCTCTGGCAGATTTGGTATTTATCACATTGTTTTAAGTAAAATGTATTTAATTTTAAGTACACATAATTAATATTTAATAATACAACATCTCATGTGCATTTAGATCCAACTCTCTCCTTTGTCTTTATATTTAACAATAGCAATTTTGAATATGTAATTTAGAATACTAAAAAACAAACAAGAAAACAAACAAACAAAAGATGACCTGATCTACTACTTAGAACATCCCTTGCATTCTTCTTGCTTTCTCTTTACAGAGAATTAGGCTGCTATCTCCAAAAGGTTAGGGCTGTGTCACTTCAAATTTTCATCCCCAGTGACTACGGGTCCTGTTACATAGATGGAAAACAATTTGGCAGAATACAAAGCATCTAATAAGCACTCACAATATGTAATTTTCTAACTTCTAAATGAGGAAAATATCTAATAAGAAGAGAACACACAGCAAATGTCATTTAAAATGAATTCTCCAGAAACTTTATTCTGGACACTAAATAATGTCAGGCAGATTGATGAACAAAGCACAGTCGCCTCCCTCTAAAGAGAAAGGCAGATGTAGACATAATTGGATTCAAGACATTACCCAGAACCAAGAGTAGTAAACACTCTACTCTCAGAGATCTGAGAGCAGAAGTAGAAAAATGAATTCTAACTGGAGGGAAGAACAAAATTCACTCAAACCGGCATAATAACTTTGGATAATGTAACTACAAAAAGGAAGCTGATGGACTTGATTGAAAGTCTTCAGCAGAAACTTTAGCCATAAGACCAATGGGTTTTTTAACAGACATACTTCATAATATAAATAAATAAATAAAAAGGTAGGGCTATCAATAAATAAGTTATATTCCAAAATCTTGTAATTTTGAACATCTCCTCCAATGAAAACATGGCTTTTAAAAGCCATAGTGACAAAATATATGTATGTAATATTTGTGTATATATATATATATATATGTATACACATACAGATACACAGAGGCACGGGAATAAAAAGTTAGGATGCATTACCCAATCTCCTGGAGGAAAAAAATAAATTTTTGACTTTTTTCATATGTAAGCTGAAAATTGCTTACTTGGATATGTTTCACAGATTTCAGGAAAAACCATTCTTATACCCCTCTAAAGAGGGTTGGCAATTATGAAAACCAAGTAAAAGTAGGTAAAATTGGGAAGACATTATGGAAAATAAGAATTATTATTTTGAATATTCACATAGCAATAAGACTCTGAGATTGGCACTGAGGAAACTGAGGCACAGATCAATCAAGAGATTTGATTAAGTCACAACTCTCAGTCAGGCACATCATATCACCGTGGCTATAATTAGCCAAATTTGACAATTTACCATTTGATGTCCTCATTTGCAAGTTACCTTTTTGTACACAGAGGAAAAGTATTTCATGACTGAAGTGTTTATTTTTCTTACAGATACCCACATCGTGTTATTTTATTCAGGATTTTAAAAATATTATCTGTGAGATGTCTGCATAGAAATTAAGCCCCGGGATACATAAAAAATAATTTCTGCCACTATTAAAAAGATAAAGAATATGGGTAAAACATAAATACCATACAAGCTTTTAATGCTAATGTGTAAAATAGAATGCTCTATCATACATTAACTTAGACTTATTGAACTTTATCTTAAACAATTGCATTTTCCTGTTATTGTTTTTTGAAAAATGAGCTATCACCAAACCAGGCTCATATGAATGCTTTCCTATGTTTTTCTGTGATAAGCAAAAAGAAACAATAAATATTTATTATTTATTTCTATGACAGGGCATTTATTCATAGAAAACCAGTTAAAGCAAAAATCAGTAATTTCATCCACATATTCAGGGTCATAAAGAGCCCGATTTTAATAATTGGTTTAAACAAATCTATTTTGAGTTAGAGACAAATACAACATGCCCATAGAATTACTAAGCTGCTTTGCCCAAAGTCATCACACATAATGAGACTGAATTTGTGTTCCTCCTCCCTTAGCAACCAATACTAAAGGCAGTCAGGGTGTGGCTTCCTGGTAGGTGGTTGAGATTTTTGGGTAGCTGCACATTTTACCAATGACCAGTTTCAAAGAATTTGCCTAGGGTTTTTTTATGATGAACATAAAAGTATATTATTATGTACTTTTCTTGCCTGAGTTTGGTTAAACACACATTTTGAATCTAGAGTTTTTATTAAAAGGGCAGGAAAAAAATTAAGGAGAAAAATAATGTCTTCATAATTTTGAAAGGCTCTTCAGTACACAATGAAACTGAATGCAATAATATGATGGAATGGAAATATATATTTTAAGATAATTTTTGACAGAGACATATTAAGATATCATAGTGAGATTAGACAAACTAAACCTATATAGTCAATAAATTGACTAGGTACGGATAAAAACAGTAGATTAGATTTGTTTTGTTCCACTTATTTTTGACTCTCCATCCTGAAAGTAGCATTTCTCTAATCTATTCTCTTTAATCCAAATATAGGGATTTCAGAAATAAGAAGTGAGAAAGTCCCGGATGCAACACATCATTAGGTGTTTACATTAGTGAATCTCAGTTTTTTCAGGGCTCAACCCTAGAGATTTGCATTTAGAAGTCAGGCTGGTATCCATAACACTCATTTCAATAGCAAGTGATCCTAACTAAGGCAAGTGATCAGAAAGCCAGCTCTTTCTAATATACTGCCCTAAAGTAAACTCCCTTCTCCAATAACTATTTCTTGATGTCAGGATTTATTTAAATGTAGAAACCACTGAAAAAAAAAAAAAACACCATTGAAATGTTCTTTGCTCATCTAACATAGAGTGGTTGTAAGGATTTGGAAAAAGATTTGTCTAAATTAGTTGTTCTCAAAGTTGGAGGTACATTAAAATACCCTGGAAATTTTTTTTTCCTTTTATAAAATTTATTTAGCCTTGTATTTTTTTGTTTGTTTGTTTGTTTGTTTTATTTCGGCATATTATGGGGGTACAGATTTTAAGGTTTCAATAAATGCCCATTTCCCCCCCTCCCCCCAAAAGTCTGAGTCTCCATCATGACCATCCCCCAGATGGTGCACATCTCACTCATTATGTATGTATATACCCGCCCCTCCCACCTGCCCAATACCCTATTACTGTAGTACCTATGTATCCACTTAGGTGCTACTCAGTTAATACCAGTTTGCTGGAGAATATATCTGGTGCTTGTTTTTCCATTCTTGGGATACTTCACTTAGTAGTATGGGTTCCAGCTCTAACCAGGAAAATATAAGATGTGCTATATCACCATTGTTTCTTAGAGCTGAATAGTACTCCATGGTATACATATACCACATTTTATTAATCCATTCTTGGATTGATGGGCACTTGGGCTGTTTCCCTGGAACTTTTAAAAATTACTGATGACTAGAGTCCAACCTGAAAGAATCTGATTTAATAGGTCTGAAGTTGGGTACCACTTGTCAGAGTTTTTTTTTTTTTTCCCCTTTTTTTTCCTCTCTCTCTTTTTTTTTAAGTACACTTAAGTGTATTTTTTTTAAGTTCCCTAAGATTCTAATATGTGGCCAGTTTTTTTTAAGGCTATGGCCTTAAAAAAAAAAAAAAAAGTACTTTTGTAAGAGTCGTTAATATTTTCCTTATCAGATCTGTCATGTTTGTTGAAATGTAATACAAGTTATTTTCTCTTAACTTATTCCAAAATTATTTTGTTTTGTTTTATTTTATTTTTAGCAATTAGATTATCCTGCCTTCGAAACAGCCGGGCTCTCTACTAAAGAAAAGCTGCCTGCCAACATTCTCCAAGTGACTACGGAGACTTCGCAACTGGGTTACTATTTCCAATTTCTTCCTAATCTTTCAATGAATTCTATATCCTACTTGGATCCACTCCAGTGATTATATAGGATGAACTTTTTAAAGAGAGTACATTAATCGATGTTCCTTTTTCAAAGCATGAATAAAATGTACCTTGCTTATAGCCCTCGCAACTGGAAGCTTAGAAGCAATTGTCCTGGGGGGAGGTAACATCTGATTTGGATTTGACGTGATTAGACTCAAAGGGGGAGGTTGATCACGGAAAACGGATGTCAAGCAGAGTTGTACAGTCTCTTTCATTGCTTTCATCTGTGATTCCTACAAGAAAAAGGAGCGTTAACATTTTTTACAATGGCTCTGCTTCTATTCTCCTTTTCCTCCTGGCCTACACTCACTCCCCACATAAATACACATCAGTTTTCAAATGCAATGGCCCATTTTATAGATTCTCTTATGATTTACTATTTAATCCACACTCAGTCTGTTTTGAGGAGCTAATGTGTTTCATGACATATTTTGAACACTAAACTTCAGGAGATATATACTACTTTTTTCTGTTGAATTGACATGATTTCTATCACGAAACTTTGCTAAAAAGGAAATATACTCTGGGTTATTCTGAAGTAAAAAACATTCTTCTGAGAATCCTCCCGTCTTTTAATAGCCTCAACTTTAAGAATAGCTTTTCTAGCAAAAATAGGTACCTGTGTTTCTCAGATTAGCCTATACCGCCACTCAATTTCTCCACATAATGGGAAAAATAAATTTGGCTCTGATAAAATATTCATTTTTTCTTCACCTTGTTAGGGAATAGGAGTGAATCCAATGTGATAATAAATTATAATATAAACAATTTCTTATATTGGGATAGAATATCACAATATTTCAAGCATTTTCATATGCAAGGAATAATTACATGCTTTCAAACATCTGTTGATATATTTTTATGATTTTTATGATGATATTTTTATGACTCTACTATGAAGAAAAAAGATTCAAAGATTTTTTTTATTTCAAAATATTAAAGGGTTATAAAGATTAGTGTTACATGGATACCTTGTGTAATATTTAAGTCAGGGCTTTTAGAGTGCCCGTCACCATTATAGATAGCATACAGTGGTCATTGTAGCCATAGATGTAACCTCCCACCCTCTGCCCTTCTTGGTTTCCAATGTCCTTTATACCTCTTTGTGCTCATGTGTGCCCATCATTCAGCTCCCACTTATTAGTGGGCACATGTGGTGTTTGCTTTCCATTCATGAGATACTTTGTTTAGGATAATGGTCTCTAGTTCCATTCAAGTTGCTACAAAAGACATTATTTCATTCAGTTTTATGGCTGAGTAGTACTCCATGGTATATGTATATCACATTTTCTTTATCTACTCAGGAATTGTGATGGGTACTTACTTAGGCTGATTACACATCTTTGCAATTGTGAATTATGCTGCAATAAATATTCGAGTGCAAGTGTCTTTTTGACAAAATGACTTTTCTACTGGTAGATACCCAGTAGTGGCATTGATTGATTGAATGGGAGGTCTACATTCATTTCTTTGAGAACTCTCCATATTTCTTTCCATAGAGGCTGTACTAATGTGCAGTGCCACCACAAGTGGATAAGTGTTCCTTTCTCTCTACATCCATGCCAGCATCTCTTGTTTTTGTGAAATTGTAATAATAGCCATTCTGACAGGGGAGAGGAGGTATCTCATTGCAGTTTTAATTTGCATTTCTCTAATGATTAGTGATGTTGAACACTTTTTCATATGTTTTTTGGACATTTATGTCTCTTCTTTTGAAAAATTTCCATTCACCTACCTCTTTTGGCCACATTTTATTTGTGTTTTTTTTTTTCTTACAGATTTGTTTGATTTTGTTGTAGATTATGGATATTAACCTTTTATCAGATGCATAGTTTGTAAATATTATCTCCTAATACAAAGGTTGTATATTTAGTCTGTTATTTCCTTTGCTGTGCATAAGCTTTTTAACTTAATTAAGCCATATTCATTTATTACTGTTACTGCTCTATTTGGCTTTGGGGAATTAGTAATAAATTCTTTGCTTAGGTTGATGTCTAGAAGAGTTTTTCCTACTTATTTCTCTAGGATTTTTATGGTTTCATGCCTTACTTTTAAGTCTTTATCTTGAATTAGTTTTTGGATATGGCAAGAAACAGGGGCCTGTTTTATTCATCTCAATGTAGATGTCCAGTTTTCCCAGCACAATTAATTGAATAGGACTTCCTTTCCCAGGTGTATAGTGTATGCTTTGTCAAAGATCAGTTGGTTGTAGGTACATGGTTTTATTTCTGGGTTCTCTATCCTGTTCCATTGGTCTATGTCTCTACTTTTATACCAATACCATGAAGTTTGGGTTATGATAACCTTATAGTATAATTTGAAGTCAGGTAATGTGATGCCTCCAGATTTATTCATTTTGCTTAAGATTGCTTTGACTATTCAGGCTCTTTGTTGGTTCCAAGCAAAGTTAGGATTACTTTTTATAGCTCTGTGAAATGTGAGATTGGTATTTTGATAGGGATTGTGTCGAATCTGTAAATCACTTTGGGTAGTATGAATATTTAACAAACTATAAGCATGAAAGGGTTTTCTACTTGTTTTCACCATTTATAATTTCTTTCACAAGTGTTTTGTATTCTCCTTATTGAGATCTTTCACCTTCTTGGTTAAGCATGTTCCTAGATATATTATTTTGTTTGTAGCTATTGTAAATTGTATTACATTGTTGATTTGACTCTCAGCTTGTCTGTTATTAGTATATAGAGGTCCTATTGATTTGTGAGCAATCCTGCCCTAATTTGCTTATCTTTTTACCTAACCCCCATTAAATCCCTTTAACTCAATAGAGCCTGTTACTAATACTACTCAGGTTTGGCTTGACCAAGTTCTATGAGAAAGACCCAGAGAATTATTTTACACTATCATGTCATTACTTTTTCATCTATTCTGTTAGGTGCACTCTGTTTTGAAACTGCAGGTTACTACTTGCTTTAAAATTTGCTAGAACAATATATTACTCAATGAAATAGTGATGCAAACTGCATATAGTCTTGTTTTTGCCCAGTCCTTCCCTCCTTGCAGCAAACCACTTTTCCTACTTGTTTTATCACACAATAGTGAAATGCAAACTCCTTAAATAAAATCTCCTGTTTGTCATAATGTCCTTTATTTATAGCCTCTCAAGCATCACAAGGTCATTTCCATATTATAGTCTTTACATGAGCTGTTTCCTCTGCCTGTAGAACTCTTCTTCCAAATATCCATATAGAAACCTCTACCTAAAATTTGTCTAATTTCATGTATTATCTTTTCATAAACAGCTCCTAATCACCCTTTCCAAGAATCTCATTCCTTAAAGTCTCTATTCCATATCCTAATTGTATATCTTATCTAGTCCTTACCAGTATTTCAAATTATCTTGTTGTTTTATGCTTATTGTTTTCCTACTCCTAATAGAATGTAATTTCTTGGAAGCTGGTGCATTTTCTGCAGCATCACCAGTTTCTGTTTTAAATGATAGTTGTTAAATGAAAAAATAAAGTAAATCCTCCAGGGATATAGGCTGGTGCTCTGTTACATGATAACATAATGAAATATTCTTCACTTTATCTTGTGTATTATCTAATACACAATATAAGAAAATTATTATTTGATATATTAAAAATGCTAGCACTTGTGTTATAGAATATGGAAAGCTTATAAGAAATTATCATGTATATGTGATGTTAACATGGTGAAATATTTAGAAAGCAACTTTTTGTGTGTGCGCATATGGGTACTTTTCTCAGAGAAATGCATTTTCTGGGGACAGCAAGATCTATCTCCCAGAGACCAACCATGCCTCTAATATCCAACCTCCAGGAAAATGAAAACTTACATTATTCATGTTCATCCAAATTCCTTTGGATGAACACACAAAATTTTGAGCTGCTAGCTCCGGAAGGACCATAAGGGGCTGGAAAGCCTAAGCCATTCCCCATAACTTAATGTCTGTCATGAAATCAGCTCTGTAAGGCCTGGAAAGTCATTAAACATTTTTGGATCTCTGCTCTAGTGATGTCCGGGGCCCTTGTATGTAGAATAAATAGCAGGTTCATTCATTTAAGACAAGTCTTCATTTACCTGTTCAATTAATAACTATTTATTACATTCATGCTATGTAATAGACCATGTGCTATGGCAAAAAGAGTTCTTATTCTGTTATCACTTAATCATAGGAGTCTGTGTAGGTCACCTAGTGTGTCATTTATAATAGGGATGTAATAATGCACACTTTCCTGGGCAAAATTTTGTGAGGTCAGATACTATGCAAAAATTTTTATTGTGAAAATTTGACATATTTTCATATCATAAAGCTGTTTTTATATTCTAGTAGCTGAAAATAACTATAATTCATAAAATATTGCCATATAAATAATTGATTGTTTCGAAATTAAAGGTTGATTCTTAGTTCTTGATATTACTATTACTATTATTGGGATGGAAAACTGAGACTTTTTCATTAAATATGTCATAAGAACCAAGTTGGAGTATGAAGATGTTGTTTTCATAATATTTATGAGGTATTTAAGGTTATTTGAAGCCCAGATATAACACTCTTAGGAGGTAGACACCTGAAGAGTATAAAAAAGCCTCATATAAAGATGATGAAGAGATGTGAAGAACAATTTCATTAAACTGTAGTTTTTTATCCATTTTGAAGTGAGCTAGCATTTCTACCTGACTTTATGGCTGCAATTTATGAGCCTCATATGGATCTTACATAAGATTTGTTAAAATCAACCCCCAGAAATATAAAGTGCTTTTATATTTCACTATACCAAAAGGAGTGACAAGATTCTGAAGGTTAAAGAGGGAACTGTTAACACAGAAAGGCAGTCTCTATGATTTTATAACAACTAAGCTTGCAAAGTGTTTTCCATTTGTGAAACATTGTTCCCAGTACTTTACTTCTCTGATGCATGTAATTTTCCTCCCACCTTTATAAAGTAAGTTGTATTATTATTCCCAGTGAGACATAAAGAATTGGAGGGATTTGAACATTATCATTCAATGGAAGAGTTATGAGTTGAACACAGGCAGACTGACTCTGGAGTCCATTATTTAACCACTGCAACATAACAGCTTCTCATCCTAAAATGCAGACTGTTGCATGGTATGGGCTAGGCACATAATTCTGGGGGTTGAGCGATGAAATTGGGAGAAGGAAAGCATAGAATAAGAATGGGTTAAACTAAAGAGAGAGGAACAACTATATATTAATCCTGAGTTCTTTGACTCAGGCCAAATTATAACTTACCAAGAAAGTGTTTTGTGACTATACCATTCCATGTGACCTACAGGCTCTTACAAAATGCAAATTTGTTCTCTCTGCTTTTATTGCCTCATGGCTCAGCATGCAATTATTTCCTAATTGTTGGTACTGGACAAAATTGTGAGATATGTGAGATGCAAGACCACGTCTTAAATATTTTCTATTTTCCATAATACCTAGAACAGGATGGCCACACAAAAGGTATTTCAAAACTATTTAGTCATTGACTGGCTAAAAGGATTATACAAAGTCAACTCAGGGAAATCAATTAATTTAAGGAAGAATATTTCAAGAGCCAGAGATGATAAAAACTAACAGAAGGCCGAGCTGATAGAGAATCTTGGAAATTCTATGTCTTTCTAGGACTTAAAGTATATTGTAGAAATTGTGGCAGGAATGGTAGAAAAAGGATTAAAACAAATGTGATCAAGTTGAATTTTAGGATTATATCTACCTCTGATTTTCTTATTCTACCAATTCTATAAAAAGACATATACCAATTTTTTAAATAATTTTTATTTCAAAATATTAGGGAGTACAAGTGTTCTTGTTATATGGATGAATCGTATAATGCTGGAGTCAGGGCTTTTAGTGTGCCTCTTACAAGAATAGTGTACATAGTACCCAATAGATAAGTTTTTATCCCACACCCTCCTCACTGCTTTCCCATTCTTAGTTTTCAATGTCCTTTACCCCACTTTATGACCATGTGGATGTATCATTTACCTCCCACTTATTAGTGAAAACATATGGTATTTGGTTTTCCATTCCTGAGATACATCACTTAGCATAATAGCTTCCAGGACTATCCAAGTCACTGCAAAAGACAATATTTCATTCCTTTTTATGGGTGAGTAGTACTCCATGGTGTGTATGTGTCTGTGTGTGTGTATATGTGTGTATGAATACATAAACACTACATTTTCTTTATCCACTTTGATTGATTGACACTTAGGGTGATTCCATCTTAGCTATTGTGAATTGTATTGGTAAAAAAAACATTCAGGTACAAATGTCTTTTTGATATGATCACTTCATTACCTTTGGGTAGATCCATAGTAGTGGGATTGCTGGATTGAGTGGTAGGTCTACTTTAAGTTCTTTGAGGAAACTCCATACTATTTTTCTTATTGGGTGTACTAACTTACAGTCCTACCAACAATGCATAAATGTTCCTTTTCACCACATCCATGACAGCATCTATTTTGGGGGTGGGATTTTTTAATAGTAATGGCCATTCTGATAGTGGTAAAGTAGTATCTCATTGTCATTTTAATTTGCATTTGCCTGATGATTAGTGATGTTGAACAGTTTTTCATATTTTTTTGGCCATTTGAAAAATATGTGTTCATGTCTTTTGCCCACTTTTTGATGGGGTTATTTATTTATTTTCTTACTGATTTGTTTGAGTTCTTTGTAGATTCTGGATATTAGCCATTTGTTGAATGGATAATTTGCAAATATTTTCTCCCATTTATTCTGTAGGTTTCCTATTTACTTTGTTGATTATTTCTTTGCTGTGTTGAACTTTCTTTTAATGTAAGTCAGCCCCATATAATTATTTTTGTTGTTGTCGTATTTGCCTTTGCGTTTTAGTCATAAATTCTGTGCATAGGCTGGCTGATGTCTAAAAGAGTTTTACCTATGATTTCTTCCAGAATTTTTATGGTTTCAGGTTTTACATTTAGGTCTTTAATCCATTTTGACTTAATTTTTGTATATGGAAGGAAATATGGGTCCTATTTCACTCATCTGCATGCAGCTATTCAATTTTCCCAGCACCATTTATCAAATAGAGCATCCTTTCTCAAGTGTATGATTTTGCTTGCTTTGTTTGGTCAGTTGGTCATAGCTATATGGTTTTATGTCTGGGTTATGTATTCTATTCCACAATGTCCTCAGATTTGTTATTTTGTTTAAGATTGTTTTGGTTATTCGATCTCTCTCTCTCTCTTTTTTTTTTTTTGGTTTTATATGAAGTTTGGGATTTTTTTCTTAATCTGTGAAAGATGACATTGGTATTTTGATGGGGATTACATTGAATCACTTTGCACAGTATGGTTGGTATGTTTAGCAATATTGATTCTTCCTATCCATGAGCTAGGGATGTTTTTCCATTTGATTGTGACATCTATTATTCTTTTGATCAGTGTTTTGTAGTTCTCCTTGTAGAATTCTTTCACTGCCTTGGTTAAATATATTCCTACATGTTTTATTTTCTTTGCAGCTATTTAAATGGTATTGCTTTCTTGATTTGACTTTGAGCTTGACTGTTATTAGAATATAGAAATGCTATCGATTTCTGTATGTTAATTATGTAACTCTGAAAACTTGCTGAATTTATTTATCAATTCTAGGAGGTTTTTGGTGGGTTATTTAGGGTTTTCTGGATACATAATTATATCATTGGCATGGTATTTTAACCTCTTGTGTTCCAATTTGGATGCCCTTTTTTTCTTTCTCCTCTGGCTAGGACTTCCAGCACTATGTTGAATAGAAGTGGTCATAATGGGCACCCTTATCTTGTTCTAGTACTTAGGAAAAATGCTGTCAACTTTTCACCATTCAGTATGATGTTGCCTGTGGGTTTGTCATATATGGCTTTTATAATTCTGAGACAAGTTTCTTCTATGAGTGGTTCATTGAGGGATTTTATCATGAACGGGTGCTGGATTTTGCTAATGCTTTTCCTGTATCTGTTGAGATGATCATATGGTCTTTGTTTTTACTTCTGTTTATGTTATAAAACACATTTTTATTAGCATAATATTACATAGCATGAGTTGGATATGGTCAGAGACTAGCATAAATTGGTATAAATTTATTTTCTATAAATTAAAAAATATAAAGATAAGATCTCAGTAGGATGAATTATACTTAGTCTAGTCCACACAAAGCAGCCAGGCTCTCCTAAAACTATTAAATATTAATAAGTTGGATAAATTGATATATAATAAGACAATCACAAATCAGTAAAGTTTTAAAATATCTAATTATACATTCGAAATCCTCATTTGTCGCAAAGTTCTAAACCTTAAGAAGGAATATTATTAGAATTCACAAAAGGTCCTGATTTCTTTACGATAGCATTTTCTCAATATCCTGTTATGAAGTTCACTATGTTACTTATGAAGGTTTGATCATACCAAAGTAAAGAAATGAGCCTATGTGAGATGCAAGTCCCTGAAAAGGATAATTTTAACCTTGTCCTTCACATCACTCCGTAATAAGAAGTGGGGAGAGGGATATCAGTAAAGCTCCAAAAGAATCAGCATTATGTTATATATCCTTTTTTCTGTACCTAAACACCTATGATTCAAACTGGCATTTTAGAGAAACCTCCTTTCTTTACCAAAGAAAGGTAAATGCTAAATGTATACACCGTATTATTACACATTGCTAAATGTATACACTGTATTATTGCAAAAAAGTCTATAAATGCAATCCATCATCCCACTTGCTTAATTTCTTAATGAAATGGTTACTAAGCTGTGATCACAAAAATAGAAAGCACTGGACAGCAGATAGAAGACTTTCTTCAATTAAAAAAAAAAACTTATTTTGAAAAATATAAGAGCATATACAGAGCAATATAAAAATAATGATCAATCTGAATTAAATGCTAAAAAGAATCATTTGATTATATAATATATATGGTATATGTAATATAACATTTTATATAATTTTGTAAAATATATAAATGATATATAAGCATACATGAATATAATATGCACATATATGTAATATTCACATAGATTTCATTTATCTAATATATATACATGCATATATAATGCAGCTATATATTGTATATACAACATATATGTGGTTGTATGGATTAAATATTATGTATTTGAAGCTGTACAATTATTGGAGAATAAAATATTTGAGATACAGTAGAAGTGCTCTTTATAATCATTCCCAGTGTCATTTTACTCAGTCTTATCCCAGTGAAAATTATATAAATAAATTTTATGTGTCTGTATCTTTCTATGTTTTCCATTTATATGATTTGTTATTATTATAAATGTTCTTTGTATATTTGAACAATTGTCAGATATTTTACATATAATCTTGATTATTTTATTCAACATATGTTGTCGATTAGATGGAATATATTAATGTGCATTCATTAATAATAAATTGTGATGGCCATTTCAAAATTTGGGTATAGAACAATACAAAATATATACATTCATTCTCCTAGTAGTAAGAAATTATTTGCATTTATTATTAATACAAACATTGTTACATTTAATGTCCTTGTGCATGTTTCCAAGTAGAAATAGATAAGTACAAATTCTAAGACACATACATTTAAAAACTGTTTATAACAATCTGATGTCAATGACTGCTTTCACTTTCTTCATAAGTCATTCTTCCAGAGTTAACATAAGACATTTTAGTCACCTTAGTTGGGGCTTTAAAGCATATTTATTCAATGTGTTATAGAACAATTGTGCCATTATAGAACAATTCACCTCAATTACACAATTGAGGTGAAAAATTAAGTCTTGAACATACAAAGACTGAAACTTCAATTTGCTGTAGCAGCAAAAAAATAGCAAGAATTGGATTTCAAAGGAAATATCATACATTCATGAATTCTATAACCACCTCATATGCATAGCATCTGAAATTACATTAATAAGTCAAGGGAAGCAATGAATATACTCTAGCTTTTTCTGCTAAAACCAAAATTGTTATGGTTCATGGATATAGACTTACCCTGTCAAGAGCTGCTTTCTCCAGTTCATTTTTGGCTACAGCCAATTTTTGTTCCAGATCAGTTAGCTGTTGGGCCTGTAAAATAAGGGAAAGGCAAATCCTTACAGTAAATTCCATAAGCTCCCCATCTACTTTAAGGATCTGTCATTCATTGACAAAAAGAAAAAAAGAAAAGAAAGGGAAAAAAAATACATATCCTGTGAGATTCATTTAGATTTCAGTTTGAAAATACTATATTCCATGATGATTTGATCAGTGTAAAGAAAATGGCACTCCTTGATGACTATGCACTAAATTCTGCACCAAAACATCTAATTTTAAAATCTAACAAGTCCTAAAAGTAGTTGTGATTTAAATCTATCAGTTATGTTTCTGGTTGTTATGAACTGAATTGTACCCCCCAAACTCCAAATGTTGAACACCTTACCCCTAAAGTGACTGTATTTGGAGACAGGGCCTCAGGAGAATAATTAAGATTAAATAAATTCATAAAAGTTAGGCATTAATTCCAAAAGACTCGTGTCCTTACAAGGAGAGGAAAAGATACCAGAGATCTCTCTGCAATCAGAAATCAGAAAAGCCATGTGAGGACACAGTGAGAAGGTGCTGTCAGCAAGCCAGAGAGAGCCCTCACAAAAAAATCAAACCTGTGAGCAACTCAACCTGGGACTTCTAGCATCCAGACCTATAAGAAGATAAATTTTCATTGTTTAAGCCACGTACTCTACAGTATTTTGTTATGGCAGCAGACTAATACACTAGTATTCACTCTATTTTGATTATTGAGATTTAACACCATATACCACTCTATTCTATCATATCTCTGTACCTTTGCAGATGTCATATCTGTGACATTAAAAGAAAACAGTAATGGCTTCACATTTGGCCATTAAAATCCTGCCTCTACCACTTCCTGGCTATGTGATTTGGGACAAAATATGTGACTTTTCTAAACCAGAAATGATTATAATTTTTTACACCATGCTACCAGAGCTCAAATGAGGAATATGAAAACCTGGAAATACTATTACCAGCTTACATACAGCATTTGCACCACCTTGGTTCATATCATTGTTATTTCATTTGTCAATTCACCTTTTAATTAATCCTCATGATCCCTAGTATTCTAGGCATTGTGTATCAGGCCCTGGGACTTGCAGAGTTACTACAAAAAAAAGTCTTTCCCTCAAATGACCTACAAACTTATTTTCTTAGTTTGTTTACCTCCTCCAGCTGATTTTAGTATCTGTTGACAGCAAGAATAATCAAATACATTTATTTCAATTTGCTTTATGAATGCTGACATTTTATTACTTATCACAATTCATTAAATCACATCATAAGTTAAGAAATGTTACTAAACTTTTAATACAAATCAAAAACTATTCTCTGCACTGATAATATAATGATGAAGAAAAAAAATCCCTGTCCACAAAGAGAGACAGAATATATAATACATATATAAAATCAGATAGTGAGAGTTGCTGTCAAGAAAATAAAGCTAAAAGAGGGAATGGAGAATGTGAGAGATTATATCAATGACCCATATTTAAAACCTTTATCACCCTTCTTGCTGTATACATATCGTAAACCATATGACTTATCATATCCTGCCATCAAGAGGTAAAGTACATATATCTTCTTGACTTGATTGTGTTCTTTTTATTTGGTCAATGGGATGTAAGCAATATTTATGAAACTGGGCTTGTTCTTTGGCTCTTCTGACATCACTATGAGAAGATATGACTGAGTTAACCTGATGTAGGAAAGCTACTGCTACTAAGTTTGTATGGATACAGTCAAGGTGCTGGTAGATAATCAAGCTGGTTAATCTGTAGAGTCATGCATGAACCCAGCCCAGATCACTGAACCCCAGTCAACCCATATACATTTGTAGTAGATGAATAAATAATTCTTGCTTTCACCCTCAGAGTTGTGGTTTTGTTTTATGTCATAGTAAAAGCTAATTGATATAGACAGAGGTTATCAAAACACTCTGATTATATAAATTGGAGCAGAGACCTAAGTGATGAGAAGAACCAAATCATGCCAGAAATTTTTAAGACCTTCTGATGTATGTAAACTTGGTGATTTTGAGTTAAAACAAGTCTAGTCTATTCAGAGCATATGAAACAAGGGACAAGTGGTAGGAAGGAAAGTTAGGGAAGGGAAAAATGAAATAATGCTTTATCTGCCATGGTAAAGATATTATTCTAAGTTAATGAATCAGTAGGGGCAATGTGAGAGACTTCAAACTTATATTAAATCTCATGTAGTTCATTTTATGAGTAGAAATATTATCTTCCATAAATACATAGGATTGAGATAGAGAACCATCAGGTCCTGCTTGATAAGGAGACAGAAGGTCCAAACCAAGGTCTCTAATAAAACAGAACACATTAAAGAAGCAGACAAAACCAGCTATTAATAGAACACACATGGCAATGAAAAATGATCTCAGGTTATTTCCATTGTTAATTATACCCTGCTTATAACATATTAGCATATTAAAAGAAACTCCTACCAGCACCATGGCAATTTACAAATGTCATGACAACTCTGGAAGTTACCCTATGTGGTTTAAAAAGGGAGAGGAACTCTCAGTTCCAGGAACTGAGGGACTTCTCATTCCTTTCCTGGAAATCTTATGAATGATCCTCCCTCTGCTTACCATAAAATTAAATGAAAGGTATAAAATTAGACCCTGAAAACTCAAAAAGCGCTACTCTTGTTGCTCTGTGAGATAGTCATTTCTCTGTTTATGGGGATGCCCCCAGCTCTGTTTCTTTGTTACTTCACAAACTTACTTTTGCTTTATTTTCTTGGTTGGCTTGCTCTTCAATTCTTTCCTGCATGAAGACAAGAACCCACTTGGCCTTTGGGCTGGACCTCAGTTTGGGGATCCATTTTCCTGTATTAAGATTACTTATGCATAACCCCCTTTTTTTTTATATGTGTAAGAAAATGCTAGCTTTTGAAGTTGTACATTATTTCAACATTGTCTTCACTTACTTTAAAGATACAAAAGAACAGAGATGGTAGAAGATGGAATTTAAGAGCTCAACCATTAGAATTTGTGTACTAGTTCTTACCCTTTTCTAATTTTAAATATAACCTTCCCATGCCTCAGTTTCCTCTTCTGTAAAGATGAAGATAATAATAATACTTAATAGTGCCAGAACTATAGTAATACAAAAATATTTGATGAGGAATATAGTTCCTTTTACCTGCCATAAACACATCATAAAAGCAACCAAGATATCAATCCAAGAAGATTTTATCAGGGCAGAAAGAATGAATTCCAACAAAAATAGAAAATATACCTTGAAAATATTATTGTCATTCATTCCAAAGATTTTAGCAAATTACTTTTTCTAGGAACACATTGAACAGGTTTGGTCATTGCTGCCTTATTTGGTTTGTTTGGATAAATCTTGTTTTCCTCATAAGTGCCCCTTTTTCTGCATCCGGGTCAGCATCAGTTGCTTTGGGACTCTTTGGTAAAAGCCATTCTCACTGGAGTTAGGTGATATCTAATTGTGGTTTTGATTTACATTTCCTTCATGCTTAGAGACATTGAACACTTTTTCATATACCTATTGGCAATTAGTCTCTCTTCTGAAAAGCTTACATTTTACTGATGTTGTTTGATGTTTTCTTGCTGATTTGCTTGAGTTCTTTATAGATTCTGATTATTAAACTTCTATTGGATATATAGCATTCAAATATTTTCTCCCATTCTGTAGATTGTCTGTTTATTCTATTGGTCATCTCCTTGGCTGTGCAGAAGCTTTTTAATTTAATCAGGTCCCATTTATTTATTTTTGCGGTTGCTGGGATTGCAACCCAGCAAATGGGGTCTTTGGGGTCTTCTTCATAAATTCTTTGCCTAGGCTGATATCTGTGAGTTTTTTCTGATCTGTTTTTCTAGAATTCTTATAGTTTCATGCCTTAGGTTTAAGTCTGTTATCCATTGTAAATTAATTTTTGTGAGTGGTGAAAGGTACAGATTCAGTTCCAGTCTTCTACATGTGGCTATTCAATTTTCCCAGAATCATTTATGTACACAAATCAGTAGCATTCCTATACAACAACAACTGTCAAGCTGAGAATCAAATCAAAGACTCAATACCTTTTGATAAAGGCCATTCTTACTGGAGATAAGTGATCTCTCATTGCAGTTTTGATGCTGAATGTTTATAGCAGCACAATTCACAATTGCAAAGTTGTGGAAACAACCCAAGTGCACATCAGTACATGAATGGATTAATAAAATGTGGTATATGTATACCATGAAGTACTATTCAGCTTTAAGAAACAATGGTGATATAGCACCTCTTGTATTTTCCTGGATAGAGCTGGAACCCATTCTACTAAGTGAAGTATCCCAAGAATGGAAAAATAAGAACCACATATACCCACCAGCAAATTGGTGTTAACGGATCAATACCTAAGTGGACATATAGGAGTAACATTTATCGGGTGTCAGGCAGGTGGGAGGGTGGAGGAAGGTTGGATATATACATACATAATGAGTGTGAGGCACACCGTCTGGGGGATGGTCACACTTAAAGCTCTGACTCGAGGGGCGAAGGGGGCAAGGACAATATACATAAACTTAACATTTGTACCCCCATAATATGCTGAAATAAAAAAGAAAAGAAATAAAAGACTCAAAACCTTTCACAATAGCAACAAAGAAAATAAAATAAGTAGAAATATATTTAATCAAGGAAGTGAAAGACCTCTATAGGGAGAACTATGAAACACTGAGGAAGCAAATTGCATAGGATACATAAACAAATAGAAAAACATATGATGCTCATGGATGGGTAGACTCAATATTATTAAAATGTCTATACTACTCAAAGTCATTTACAGATTCAATGCAATCTCCATTAAAGTACTAACATCATTTTTTGCAGACCTAGAAAAAATAATCCTATGCTTCATATGGAAACAGTAAAGAGCCTGAACAGCCAAAGGAACCTTAAGCAAAAATAACAAATCGGTGGAATCACTTTACCAGACTTCAAGCTATACTACAGGCTATATTAACCTGAAAAGCATGGTAC